CGCTCGGTGAGACTGTCTTTCTTCCAAAGAGGCCCAGAATGATAAACTACGAATCAAATCTTCGGGTTTCCTGCTATCGACGCACATGTGAGAGATTGGGGGAGTAGACCTGGCCCAACCTGCGTGCCCACTGCTTGGAGTGCGCTGCAAATAGCCACCTCAAGGCATTTGTAGGGCCAATGTGCTACCGACACCACTCAAAACAGCATGTACCGTCTCTTTTGCGTGTTCCCGTGGGCTTAAAAGCACGGTGGAGGGAGTAGTCCGCAAGGCCTTGCGCAGCCACATGCGGGCAAGCTTGCGTCTTCTGAAACATTTACCATGCGTAGAAAATGCGGTCTCCTGAGGAACTGCCATCTCCGATATGTAGAGGTTGGATTTGGGACCCGAACCTAGTAGAAGGGCGGTAATGGAGTAGAGGTGGCGAGGCGGCGGTACCAGAGTTGTTCGGTTCACATGAGTCCGTTCACATGAACGACTGTGATGAAGAATGGAGTGGACACCAAAATATGGTCCCAGCTTGTATTCTTATATATGCGGGTCGTACGTGGTGGTGGGTGTTGCAGGCATTCCCTGTATGTCAGCTACTTGTCCTTCTATGCCTAGACTGGTCAGTACACAGATGAATGCCCAATTCAAGTCATCCGAAATCCTTGGAGCGCAACCTCTTACCTGGACGTCGGAAAGATGCTTCTCCCGTCCTTTCGCTCTTGTTTCCAGCGATTGTTCCACATCTTCTCAACCCTCGATTTCCTGGATGTCAGCCACATATGACTAGGCAGCATGGAGATGAAGCCGCGCTCCCCTTCCCTCCACGGAACCACCCACCCAATCATCCATATTTCAAGCATTCCTTCCACTTTCTCCTCCACCCAATCCAACACCCTAGCCACCGGAAAGAAACTCGGCACCCAAAGGGACGGGTGGGAGGTCGATAGTGCGCTCGCTTCGCGATTCATCTCACGTCGTGCACGGTAACACGAAAGAAAGCAGCGGAGCACCGTCAAATGGCTCAGGTCATATGCCTGTACTACCTGCACCCTCGGGCGTCTCCGACCCTACCAGCCCAACCAGATCCCTAGTTTAGTCCTGTGGTGGTGGATGGTAGTTGGCGGGTTATAATAAAGACCATTGAGTTGGGTAATAGTTGAGTGTGAGTACATGTAGCTATGGGGTAGTGTAGTTACATGAGGGACAGCTAGCGTCGTCCAAGACCAAGTGACGAAACGGTCTCGAGGCTCGGTTGGTTGTTTCTGCGTAGACGGGTTGCATACGAGGTTAATGTTAATGAGGGGGCGAGGTTTGAGCGAAAAATGATTTCTTTGGGCGGAGAGCTGGTACGTTGATGGACAAGGGATGTAGGCAATTCGGCGGTGTTCGGGACGAGCCGCCGGGATGGGAGTGGAGTGATTCGAGCGGTCCGCGCGCGCGCGTGGGGGGCGTGATCAACATACCCCCCATCAGGTCAGGCATCTAGGTTGCGATAAGATTGGGTGAAAGAGGGTAAAATTCATGTTATATGTATCCACGTATTCAAATGCCATGGTGCTAGAACTCATTCATCAAATTAAATCATTTCTAAGCGTTGCCTGTATGTATCCTCGCACATCCTACATACAACAACTCGGATCTACAAGCGGTTTTCAATACAAACAGCTATCAAATGGGGGTAATTGTGAAGGTGAAAACATACTCTGAGAATGGAAGAGAAATTGAAAAACCAAATCTCAACTGTCGACAAAAACGCCCCGCTTTGCCATCTAGAAAACAAGTCCGACCAAAGCCATTTTGCAGCCAACCAAATGCCGAGTTTGAATATGGAATCTTCCCTCTCGGCGAGGTGGCTCATGACCACACATCTTCTTGGTATTGGTTCGACGCTCTCATCGCCTTGACAATGGACTCGCCCTTGGACTCTGGCACGTCGCGGTACTTGGCGATGATCTTGCCCAGGAGCGTATTCACCTCGCGAGCCATGTGCGCAGCGTCACCGCATACGTAAAAGTACGCCTTTTGCTCCAGCAACTTGTTGAGTTCTTCGCCATACTCTTCCATCCTATGCTGCACATACACCTTCTGGGGTCCATCTCGGGAAAACGCCGTGTGCAACACAAAGTTGTCGCCGAGGGCCTCCTTGTATTCCTAGGTGGGGGTGTTAGCAGGCTACCTCTATGCAGATAGGCGAAAGGTATACTCACTTCCCATTCCTTCTCATACAGAAAATCCTCCGAAGCCTTCCTGCACCCAAAGAACAAGACGGTCTTGCCCACAGTCTGGCCCGCCTTGGCTTGCGCAGCTCGCTCCTGCACGAAAGCGCGGAACGGTGCAACACCAGTACCAGGACCGACCATGATGATGGGCTTGGACGGATCAGAGGGTAGTTTGAAGTTGGAGTGGCGGACATGAACAGGGACGTGGATTCCATCATACTTGTTACGGGGGCCGGTTATAGAATACTCGAGGCCATGTGGATCAGGGTTGGGTTCTCCATGTTGTTTTTGCTTGAGAGCCAACAAGTAATTAGTTGTGACACCCTTCACAATATGCGGGGCACCGGGCTTCTCGGTCGATTCAACAACGGCGGTGATGGCGATCTTGTCCTTTTGAACGTAAGAAGAAGACGAGATAGAGTAGTAGCGAGGCTGGATCTTGAGCAGACTTTCAATCATAAGTGAAAAGGGAATCTTGGGCCAGGGCTCGCCCTTGGAGACAATCTCAAGGAGCTGCGCAAGGTTGAGGTTGCGATCGGTGACCTGCTCATGGAAATAATCTTTGTCGTTTCCTAGTTTGACCATTTCGGCTTTGATTTCGTCATTGGCGGCGAACTGGGCGATAGTGGACACGTTTTGACGCGAAACGGGAGCACAGATTTCCATGTGATATCGGACGGCGGCATCGTATGTAGTAGGCGATGGGAAAGGAACTTTGGCGGTGGAATCCAAGCCCTTGACAGCGATGACTGTGTGTCGTTTAGGTGCAAGACCCAAAACGGTGAGGAATCGATCGACCTCCTTGCCGGCGTTCGTAGGCCACACAGCGATGTGATCACCGGTAGTGTAGGACAGGTTGGACCCTTCAATGCCAATTTCCATGTGTAGACAGTTCCTATCAGGAGTAGTGAAGACTTCCTTGGATTCGAGGATGGGGGCGATGAAGGGGTTGTTGGCGTTGTAAGGACCCCTCTGTGTACCTTCAAGGTGGTTTTTGTTAGGTTCACCCAAGTAGACAGTGTCATCTTCCGCGCTCAAATCAGGCTTCTCGGTGATCTCGAATACAGCCTCGTAGACGGCTTCACGCTCCTCCAGGCCCATGCTTTCGCACACGGCCTGCCACATGGGCTCTTTCCAGGCGAGGAAGTCCTCCTCCATGGTACCAGCACCGTCGTCACCCTCGCCCGCAGCACCAAGCCTCGTGGCACCGAGCCTTGTCAGGTATTTGTCGACATTGCGAACCATGGAGTTGTAGTGCTCGTATGTGTTGTTGCCGAGACCGAAAGCGACATATTTGAGGTTGGAGAGGGGCTTGTCATCGATGCCGCCTCCCTCGCTGAAGTTGATATCTTCGGAGCCAAAGAACTCGTAAAACTCGACGGCGTTGTCGGTCGGTTCACCTTCGCCATATGTGGCCAAAACAAAGACGGCAAGTTTGTCGTCGGGAAATTTATCCAGGTTCTCGTATTCGTAGTCCTCCAAATCTGCCACCATGGTCTTCAGACCAAAGCGGGAGGAGCCTTCCTTGGCCAAACGGGAGGCATAGTCCTCAGCAGTGCCCGTCTGGCTGCCGTAGAAGACGACACAATTCTTGTCGGACTCTTCCAGCTTCTCGATGATGTTACGTGACTTTTGGGCCTTGGCGGCACCATTGCCGTTGGCCAGAGAGTTGCCGTAGGGATCCCCATACACGGCCCAGTACGTGCCCTTGGTGAAGTAAGCAATGGTACCCGCAAGCAGGGCGGCCAGCACGAGGATGTCGAGCGTGTCCAGTTGCGCCATGCTGACTGGAGGTGGCGGTGGTGCTGTTATCAATGGAGTGCGGGCAGGAGAGCGGGGGGATATGGGGGTTGTGACCTGTAGCAGGAACAGAGGGTTAACAGATGAACAGTGGCCGAGGCATGGAGTAGAATAGTGGAGGGAGAGAGAGGAGGGGCGTATCTCTTACCAGAGAAATGATGGTGGGACAAGTGGGCAAGCCGGAAGAGAACAGGCGGTGGAATATTCAGTCGAGTTCGGAATCCGACATGAAAGGGTTTAGCGCTCCCACCGGCGGCTCTCCCCCGTGAGTGGCCCGTTCAAGTGTTATTGCTACATAATATCGCCTTGACTTGCCGTATTGATTATCATACGATCTGTCAGATCGATCCATGTGCAGTTTTTAAACTTTGCCCTATACTACAGTATTTCTTTTTCCGGGCTACTACTAAGCGTGCACTGCACCTGCGATAGCTATTTCGAGCAGCATCTGCCGAGCTGCGCGGGCGGGTTTGCTGTCGTCAACGACTGCATGTGGGAAGGTTGGGGTGGATGACACGTGCCATGACCGACCCTCCGCTCAGCGCTGCGACCCACATGTGCTCCGGAATGTTGAGTATTGGTCGGTGCCTTCGGAACGCGGAATTGCCGCGCTTTCGCTCTGGCCCCTCTCGGCGTTTTACCCTTTCCGCGAAGCGTGCTTGCCCAAACACAGTGACCATTGACAGTCAAGTTCTTCAAGAGGGACATGAATCATCAAACAGCATGTGTTTGAATGCATCTTCTTGTCTGCTTGAGTCCAAAACTATCCGTTTAGAGACGAGAAGTCATGTTAAATCACTAGGTTCTGTATCATTTGTACCAATATCGGAAATGCCGGGATAGATGTAAAATAGATGCCAAACCAATTAGAACACTAGCGCGTATTCCTTGGTGATGAGTTTTTGAGTTTCCAGCGCACAATTCGGCGGGAGAGATCAATATGCAAGTATAAGTATTTAAAGATCAATGAACTTTCCAGAAATCAGCAAAGGTCGGTTAACTCAGTTGGTTAGAGTGTGGTGCTAATATCTCTGATATGATACGCCAAAGTCGCGGGTTCAACCCCCGCACTGACCTGATTTCTTTCTTTTTTGACTTTTTTTTGGTCTCCAGATAGATACACCGACTCTCTCAACCTTTATGGAACGTTGCAGGAGAGTCGGAGACACTGAACTAGACAGGTCATCTGCCTACTTTTTACTACCACCTTTATCATTCAACCTCGTGCCTGGCGATGTTCTACCAAGTGTCTGTACTTTTCTTTTGGCCAGGGAATCGATTACGCTGCCAGGGGGTCAGAACAATCCCTCGACCATTGAAATCTAGAATTTCGATCGCCGCGCTCAGAAAATACGTGTCGTACAGTAGTGAATCAGTGCATTAGATACCTGCTCAAATACATGTCCGTAGCTGAGCTCTTCCCGCTACGCAGCCCCTAAATTACGGCCTTTCCATTCTGTTCGTGGTTCACGTATGTCCATACCAGTACTAAAATGAATATTGTTACCCGGCCTTCGAAACTTCACAAACCTCTGTTGAATTGTACTTTAGACAGAACGGTTCAAGCCTTGCGAATAACCGCGGCGTGGAAAATAGCAGTGTAGACGCCGTTTTCCGGATCCATGCACATTCCCAGAGATAGTTGCTGCATAGGGAATGAATTTAAGCTACTCAACGAAACCGCCTGTGGCCTTTTTTTTTTTCTATGTACTTTCCTTCTTTTACTGCGTAAATCCCACTCTCGTACCGGAGTGCTCGGTAAACCACGGACATAAAAATCCATCATCAGAGTCCGATGATTCGTTAGCTACCACTCCGTGCCACTTAGCTTAGCATCCGAATGCATGTAGGGACTAATAAGCGAACGCACCCCGCCAAAATGCACAACGTTCACACCCGTACGCCATTTTTTTACTCCCTATATAAATCTTTTTAGCGGGATTCCTTCCATAATTCAAAACGGTCGCGTAACTCAGTTGGTTAGAGTGTGGTGCTAATATCATCCTGATACGATACGCCAAAGTCGAGAGTTCGAGCCTCTCCGTGACCTACTACGATTTCTTTTTTGCCCGCGTGGCTTCGGATGAATAGAGCTAGGGATCTAGCGAACTCTGGAATCCTCATTTGTGGTCGAATTTTTTTTTTATTTCCTAACTCGGGGTATTGCTTTCTCAAGTCTCATGTAACAAGATAAAATATTTTGAATTAGAAAAAGTGAATGCGATTCTGCTCAGGCTTTACTGTCTCGTTCAATAGGATGTGAAGAAGTACCGACTTTCTTCTAGATGTTTGGAAGATCCACAAAGTCCAAATGATTTACTAGATGAGCCCTTGATTAATATTACTGTGGGTCAGCTTTTCGCGGTTCTGCTTAGACCAATAGTCCTTTACTTTAACACTATACTATTTACTTAGATCGCAAAGTAATTATGCTCTTAATTCCGCACATTACTTATTTTTTTATAAAAGCTGCAATGCGAGATTGATGCGGATCCTCCCTCTAGGAAGTAATAATGCGGCGCGTAATTGGACAATAATTTGTTTTAATTTTGTTGTTAAGAATAGCTACTGTCTACCTCCTATCCTATCTTATTTCGACAAAGGGAAATGGGGTGGTATGCTTTTTTGAATTTCCCAGCAAAACGATACCGTCCATCTTGGTGTGAAGATGACGGGCTACGCTAGAAGAGGGCGAAGACGTTTTACGGTAGTTGCGGGTAGAGTTTAATAGACATTGAAGACCTGGTACGTCAACCCGGGGTACAGAGTCGTGTGTTATTGAGACATTATGTGGTGTGGCGTATTAAGACACTGATCGTGTACTGAAACTACCCCGGTTGCATATAGCTAATTTTGTACCCGCGATATAGATATGGGGGAATGTCTGTAAGGTTGAGTCATGTGCCCCAAAAATACATCCTGGATGGTAGATCGTATAAACGTTTCGGTGTTTCTAAAACCGATATCTATATTGCACGCACGGCAGTGAACCTTAACTTTAATTCTGTTTATAGTTGAGATTTCGCTATAGAGATATCAATAATGCTCGCTTAAGTAGAGTTCTAGGATGTATGAACTGCTGGGACAATGATATTGATGTTAAGTCTGGCGGAGTGGAACAAAAGAGGGCACATAGATAGACAGAGAATTGATGATGTTTGACAAAGCTGACGTTTCTGCTGGGACATTATTAGGCCTGACTACTCCCAAGCAATAAATTATGCCAAAAATAACGTAATATGGGTATTTAGAGTCTTACTAGGAAGAGTCAGCTAAAAACAAAACAGAATCAATGTGTGTGCCAATCACGAATACAACTATGGTTCCGCCGGGGAAATGGACCAAGACATGACTTTGAAATCGCTGCTGTTTCTTGGAGCTATTAAAAGGGGATTTTGAGTAGCAAACATTTAGTCTTGGTGTCAAGCAGTTATACATGAATAGGATTGATATAACTTATTCATAGCAGAGCTGAAAGCTGACTACCTAAAAGAATCGGGGCCCCCAAGGATTGCGTCATAATGTATCACTGTAATGGGTCGAGTACGAATCATATTGCATTCAAGTCGGAGGCACATGAATCTTGAGCAAACATGGTTTCTACAATGGAACGGCACCTGTCAGTGTCAGGTTAGCTGACGTGGGGAAGCTGAGCGATCAGAAAGTTTAATGGGGTTAGCGACGCGAGGTGACCACTGGACCGGCCTAGCACCAGCCCCGTCGACACGCGGAAGGGGAAGGGGCCCACGGACGGCGCACGCATTGGGCCGCTCGAATGCGGACTAGCGTCTGTATTCCATTTCATTCATCTCATCCGCACCTCCAGTTGTCGACGTCGACTTCGAATTGTTTGGTCTGCAAGAGGTCGATTTGTCTCCTTTGCTTCGTGCTTCAAGTAATGCCACCTTACCCGTCATCCCTTTGTCACATTTCCCCTGTCCGGCCGTGAGCCGCCAGTGTTTACGGCAGTTTGGGTAGTGTGTGCGCGTGCGTGCTTCAAATGACGGCCCCATGTGTAAGTTACAGCAGCAGAGAAGGACGGGCGGGAGAGACGAGAGCAGAGAGCAAAGGACGAGAGCCGCGGAAGGATGCCCCTTTTGCTTACGTCTCAAACTCTTCAAACCCGAGCGAAACCACATGCGCAGTTCAGCCCGCCAGCTGGTCCCCCTCAGTCCCTGCCGGGACATATACTTTGCCCTCTGCTTCAGCCTCTCGTGCGTGCCGTGGCGGGAGCTTATTTGAACTCCCACGCCCGAATAGCAGAACCCCCTCCCCCTCCGTAACGGCATCCCGCTGACCCCTGTGTTGTTGTCTGCAGCTACTCCATCCGCGCACGTCAGACCTACTGCTGGACAACCGTCGCACCATCCAGATGCCCCTTTGGGCCCGTCGGTTCCCTCGGCCGTATCTCGCGAGCCTTCGGTCGTCACACGCGGAAGGGCGCTGACCTCATCCTCATCTTCTCGTCCCAACCTTTCGCCCTCGCCCGGCAGTGCCAAATCGAGTCCCGACCGTAGCATTAGCATTGGATTGGAGCGCAAACCATCACGCTCCTATGCCCACAATCGCAATACTTCCATCGTCGGCGGCATCCGTCAGCACTCGCGGAACGCCTCCTTCGTCAACTCTCCCGCAACCAGTCCGCTGAGTCCCCACCAAGGCTATCACGCTGGAGCTACCCTCGATGGAACCATAATGTCCCAGGAGAGCATAACCGAGGCCTTCGCTGCCAAAGGAGCCCACATGAGTTCCCTGAGCGAGGTTGCTGCCACCCCTTCCATCGGCCCTCAAACTCAGGCTCAACGCAAGCCGGAACGGGCCCCTAGTGCGCGATCGCGGAAGGCTGGCCATCATAACCCTCACCATCATTCCCAGTCGCGCCAGCCTGTCAGCGAGCTCAAGACTATCGGAGAATATGCATTACACCACCTTTTCAACTCCTTCATCCCTCAGGCGGATCAGAAAATCGCACAGTGCATGATACACCGCAGCCAACCCGAAGCCAGAGTCGAGCTCGTGTGTGGTCCCGGTGTCGACCCTAAATTTGACCAGCTCATATCATCCCTGGGCCACATTGCGCACCGGAAACCGAAGCCTCTGATCGACACAATAATGCTATGGCGCAAGGCCAAAAGCGAAGATGCCGCCCAACTTCGTGTTAAACTTGCCAATGTGCGTACCCATCTCTTCTCCTTCATACATGCGTCCCTACTGCAGATTATGCTGACTTGAAAATCAAGGCCCGACAAGCTGCTCCGCCACCACCTCAGTCTTTACTTCCCCGCCGCAATACCGAGCCCCTCCATACCCTAGACAACAATACCGTTACCAACGTAGCAACCGATCCAGAACAGATGCTCGCCCTCCAACAGACCGTGATGCAGGCTGAACAACGTTCGACCGTCTCCACATATATACTATGTCGCGTGCTGATTGAAATCATCTCCCAGACGAAACTACAACATTTGACGGCAGAGATGGCCGAGCGCCTACTAAGTTTATTCTATGGCCAGCTTAATACGGTAGATCCCGACCAAGTGGACGAATCGCATTTGAATCATGCAAACTGGGTTGTATACAGCCAACTCCTCGGTGTCTTGAGTGGTCTCATTTTCAACAGCGTACAGGTCAAATTCATTGACGAGCTGAAAACCCTGGACGGCCAAGCAGTTGCTATCAAGGGTCAATTCAACAGGGAGTTGGAAGCCCGAGGCGCTTTGCTTGTCCGTGGGATGCGCTATCTACAAGTCAAATCACACCCTCCCGAAGCGTGGGCCCAGACCTGCAATTTTATGCTCTCCATGGCAAAGCTTTTCGCCAACGTTCATGGTCAGACGCTTAAATATGCTTACTGCAGCGTGTTGCGCAACTTACTGCTGCGTATTGCCTCGGATCTTGCCACCAATCCCAAACCTGATCTCAGTTCACCCAGATGGAAAAATATTGTTGATATATTGAGATCGAGATGTGCCCTGCTACTGAACAAGCCCAAACATTGGAACGAGGCTTTCCCGCTCATGTGCGCCATTTTATGCGTGTCTCCGAACGAAACTTTCATGGCAACTTGGTCATCGCTCGCATTATCTTCACAGCCTAGATTGAAAGAGCGTGCTACCAGAGTTATTGCTCTGCGGGGAATATGTCAACTTGTGTGGAGTTATCTCCATCGCACCTCTACCGATGCTCCTAACGGTACCACGCGCAAGCTTGAAGACATTATCCGCATGGTTTTCCAACCTGGACGACGGTCGTACCTTTCGACAGAGCCCGCCATTGCCGAACCTCTGATACAGCTCACTCGCATAATTGGCTACACACACCAAGATTTGTGTTTCCGCTTCATTATATTTCCCCTGCTGAACTCTGATCTATTTACTTCCGGTCGGGATTTGCGCGTCGAGAATTTGGAGCCTGATCGCATGGTGATTGGTATCCGGTCATTTCTAGCAATCATGGCTGACTTAGAGAACCGTGAGCGAGGCAGACCGCCGTTTCCTGATGCGTTCGAGTCTTTTTCGAGTATCGATCTACCTACCCTTCCAACAGCTCCTCGAATGCCGCAAAATGTCTCAATAAAATCGTCTCTTTTGAAGGAGGAGAGACTGTCACGGCCGGTGGACTTTACAAAATTCGCTGAAGTGGCCAAAGAATATTATGTACGCTTCTGCAAGATTTTGGGAGAAATCACCATAATATGCGATAACGCCTTTGGCGGCCAAGCTGTGTTAGATGAAAAGTTTGCCGTTGCGACACCCAAGACTCCCATGGCTGAGGCCTTCAGTTTCGGTCGTCGCGACGATCATCAAACCTCTGTCGACCCGCGTCAAGGCTTCTATGATTTACTCCATGTTGCAGTCCAAGCATTGCCACGTTGCTTATCACCCCATATACCTTTTAATTCGCTCATTAACCTTTTGTGCACCGGAACCGCACACGTGCAAAGTAACATTGCGGCATCCTCTGCACAATCTCTTAAATCAATTGCCCGCCAGTCACATGCACAACAAGTAACAATCGGATTTGCAAGATTCATCTTCAATTTCGATGACA